CCATGTAAATGCCAGGTTTCTACCTGTTTGTACTTAAAATTGATAATTCCTCTGAATTTTGTAATAGTTTAGTTCTATATTTAAGTGGAATTTCAGAAATACAGAATACCAGATCTGGTCTTATCATTCAACCCTTTAAATAACCACAGATAACTACATTATTATATCGACCTAAATGTATATACGATATAAATATAAAAAGCCATTTGTATATATATCACATTAAAAGCAGGGAAGAGCCTTTCCCCCCTTCAAATATCTATATTTTCCTGACTGCCTTTCTCTGGTAATATTGACTTTCTCTGAAATCTAAAATTTATATCCTTACTTTTCCATCTTTTGTTTTTGAGTGTATTCTTTTTCAATATCATGGCTTTTATAATCTTGCGCTGTTTTCTCTATTCTTATTTATAATCATAATGCAATTCTAAAGAAAATTAGAGAGCTATGCAGACTTCGTGTCCAACAACCAACTCACGCGCTGATTTACTGAGTTCCTCAAATATTTCATAACCAGACTCATGGACCCTACACATCATTTGTGGATGAGCTTTCATCCAGCATAGTCTAAGATACAGGGCCTTAGGGAGCTGTCTTCCTTGAGTTATTTTCTGAAACACAAATGAACGTTAAGATATACTGATTATTTATCTACTTCATTAAGCTGTGTTTGTTATCATCACATATGACTTCATATTAACTCAGTTCTGTGCCTTATCTTGAGCCCATTTTCACACAATGTATGCATGACATTTAGTGTCTAACTTAAAAAAAGTGTAAAATAAGATCTAATGAATATTTTATTTGTTGTCCTCTATTTTCCCTTTATTATTATTTCTATCTTTCATCATTTAAGAAATATATCCATTTGCTAGCATTTTCATTCTTTTGTTTATTTATTGAATCTTTCACGTGTGATCACGCTGCTCTGATAACTGCTTATTTTAAATTTCCAACTCCCAATTTCTCACCGTGTTTAAAACATTTCCTGTTTAACTGAACCTGATGTGGACTGTATTTTACTGTCCAGACTTAAATTGTGAAGCCTAGTTGTTCTGTGAACACCATTATCTCTAAATGGTGGTCTGCTGATTAGTCAGACATATGCATTCATTTAAATTTTCTTATACTTCAGTTTATTATTTTACATATTGATTAGGTTCTGCAAATTGCTAATTTTTATTATATTCACTTTCTGCTTATTTACTCACCACTTCACATATTTAAAAATATTATTCTTATTATTATTTATTATTTACAATTTATTTATTTTGTATCCCAGTTGTAGCTCCCTCCTTCATCTTCTCCTGGTCACCCCTCTCTCCCTCTTCCTCCAGTCTTTCTTTCTCCTAGTTCACTGATAGGGGATGGCGTCCTCCCCTACTGTCTGACCCTAGCCTATCAGGTCCCATCAGAAATGCCTGGATCCTCTTCCTCTTGTGGTCTGGCTAGGTTGCCCAACCAGGGAGAAATGATCAAGGAGCAGGCAACCAAGTTTATGTCAGACTGTCTCTTTTTCCCTTACTAGGGAATCCACATGAAGACTGAGCTGTGTATGGGCTACATCTGAGCAGGGAGTCTATGTCTTCTCTATGCAAGGCTTTGGTTGATGCATCAGACTCTGTAGTCCCCCATGGGCCCAGCTTCTTTGACTTTTTTGGTCTTCTTCATTCGTTATATACTCGGATTTTAGCCCCCTCCCTCAACTCTTCCAGTTCCACACTCCCTTCTTCTTTCTCCCGTCCCCTTCCCCTAGTCCACTGAAAGGGGAAGTTCTCCACTATTGCCATCTGCCCATAGCTTGTTAAGTTTAATCAGGACTGCCTGGATCCTCTTCCTCCATGGCCTGGCAAGGCTGCATCATCAGGAGCGAGTGATCAGAGAACAATATACCTTTTAATGTGCAGAGGATATTGAAGAAATCAGAGAAGAAAATAGTAACTTGCAACAGATGAAAATGGTAGTTGTACTAGTTACTTGTCTATTGCTCTGATAAAACACTATGACCAAGATAAATTATAAAAGAAATCATTTTTAGTAGTTGTTGTTTCAGAGGATTAGAGTTCATGACAGTGAATCAAAGTCACAACAAGAAAGGTAAGAACTTATATCTCAAACTATAAACTGGGAGCAGGAGAGCACACTGGAAATGGCAGAAAGATTTTAATGCCCCAAAGCCAATCCCTGGTGACAAAACTCCTTCAGCCTGAACCTTTCCAATTTTTCCTAAACAATTCCACCAACTGGGTATAGAGTATTCGAATATATGGACCTGTGAGATCACATTCAAACCTTCACAATCTAATTCTTGACCCTGTAGCCTCACAGGCATACTATAAGGCAAAGTGAATTTAGTCAAAATTCAAAAGGTCTCCAAGTTTTTAATAGTCTCAACACTTTTAGAGCCCTAAGTCTCCTCAAGACAATCTCTTAACTGAAATATTTTGTAGAATCAAAAAACAAATTTATAACTTCAATATCTGATTGGAACATCAAATATATCCAGAAAGCGAAGAATAATGCATATTGAGTAAACACTGGCTCCAAAAACACAGAAATCCTCACATGCAAACACTAAATCCTATAGTTTCACATCTGATGTCAAAAGAATTTATATGATGATGCTCTCTAGCTTTGTTGCCTGCAAAGTACGTCTCTCTGTTTGTCCCTGTCTCTCTTGTTCCACTCATTATAAGCAGCTATCCTTGGTAAATATCTCATTGTTCCAGCATCTGTAACATCTTGAAACTTCATTTCTATGGCTTCAGAAGATGGCCTCTCAGGAACTGTAATAGGAACTCATCTGAGACCCATCTGAGAGATTTGTACATGAGCTGTGGAAGAAGATGCCATAATTTCTTACTCTTGTATCTTTTACGAATCTAAACCCAGGACTATGTGAACCACACTGCCAAGGACCACTTGAATCCTGGCACTCTTCAATTATATTTGTAGTAGCTTTTGTCTGTGCCTTTTCAGGAGCAGAAAATTCCTTAGGACTTTACTCTCCCCAAGCTTGGAGCATCTCTGAGTGGAGTCCTTCCTTGGTATTATCATCTTTTTATTCCCCTACAGGCCAGGCTTTACCTTGGGCTCATTCTCTCCTTTGGCGTACATGTTGGCTGTGGTGCACTTTGAAGCCCTACATCTTGTTGGTCTTTCGGTCTCATTTGCTAATTTTTTTTTATTGCATACCTGTCATAGATTGATTACTAATTACCACATGACAAGTTCAATATTAGACTCTCTTAAATAATCTGCTATCTTTAACTTTAATTTTTTATTACTTATTAAAATTTATTTACTTGGTATCCAGGCTGTGACCCCTCCCTCCCTCTCCTCCCAATCCCAACCTCCCTCCCTCTTATTCCCCTATGCCCCTCCCCTAGTCCACTGTAGTGAGGGTGCTTCTCTCCTTCTATTTGCCCCTAACCTATCATGTCTCATCAGGACTGCCTGCATTGTCTTCCTCTGTGTCCCGGCAAGGTTTCATCCCACAGGAGGAGGTGATCAAAGAGCCTACCACTCAGTTCATGCCAGAGACAGTCCCTTCTCCTCTTACTAGGGAACCCACTTGGAGACTGAGTCTATGGGCTACATCTGAGCAGGGCTTTTAGGTCCTCTCCATGCATGGGGTATGGAGACCTCTCCTTGGTTGGGGTGTCAGTCTCTGTATGAACTCAGTGGCAAGCTCTTTTCTATTGTTGTGATAAAATAGCACATTCAAGGCAATTTATTAAAGAAAGTGTTTAATGGGGTTTACAATTTCAGAGTATTTTAACCCAAGATGGTGCAATGATGGCATAGCAGAAGAAACACCCGAGAGCTCAAATCTTAAGCCAAAAGCAAAAGGCAGAGAGCACACCGGAAATAGCAGGAGTCTTGAAACCTCAAGCCTGCCCATACTGAAACACCTCTTCCAACAATGCAACAAATGCTACTCCTTCTTAAAGAGTTCTGCCAGTCATATGAGCCTACGGCGGCCATTCTCATTCAAGGGACTGGAGTAACCAAACTATCAGAACCTCTAAAATACAAGTAAGAGCATCCTGAGAGAAAATTGTATAGCTGTTAATGTTCCCATTTAAAAAAAAATGCGGTACCTAAGAGCAAAACAAACAAACAAAACCCAAAACAAACAAATAATCAAAACCCAAACAACAACAACAACAACAAAACAGAAAACAACAACAACAACAACAAAAACAAGAGGCCAATCCACAATTACATATATTTAAAAAATTGTGATTTAGGGCATAATTTATAAAATATTGACTAAAAGAACTACAAATAGAATCCATTAAATTGTGATTTGGTTCTTTGAAAAGGCTAACAAGACTGGCATACTTCTATGTAAAGAGAGAAAACATAAATTATTACAATGAAACATTAAAAGATTTGATACAGCAAAATTTAAATTCTCCAATAAAACTGAACCTAATTTCTCTGACAAAATAAAAGCACAGGGATGAGCAAATCACTGATGAATCCTACCAAACCTTTAAGAAAAATTTAACATTATTACTTAAAATTTTATACAAAGTAGAAATGGGAAGAAACTGCCAAACTCATTCTGTAAAGTCAATGCTATCTTTATAACAAATATGATGAGGACATAGTAAAAAATGAAAACTATAAGTCAGTTTCTCCTCTGAGCTGAGATACAATAGTTTTAGACAAAGTACTCTCAACGTGAATTCAAGAGAATAAGCATACAAAAGTAATGCTGTTTTTTCTTCAGTGATATAAGGTTACCTTGCCAATCCCTAAGTGAGACAGTGTAGATTTAAATTTGAAAAACATGGGATCATCCCATAGCCACAAAAAGAAAGGGTATTTGACAAAATTCAGAATGCCTTGACAAAAATAAAGTATAAATATCAGTATAAATGGAAGGATCTTCACCAACCATGTATCTGACAGAGGGCTAATATCCAGAATACATAAAGAACTCAAGAAGTTAAAAAGCAACAAATGGCTCTTTTACCAAGACGGCCAACATGGGCCTAGTTCGCACCAAGGCCAAGGGTGTCATCAAGTACTGCATGCTCCTGAGTAATGACTTCCACACCAGCAAGCCTGTGTGCGAGGAGGTCGCCATTATCCCGAGCAAGAAACTCTGCGACAAGATAGCCAGCTATGTCACCAATCTGATGAAGCAGATTCAGAGAGGTCCTCTGAGAGGTATCTCTATCAAGTTGCAGGAAGGAGAGAGAGAGAGAGAGAGAGAGAGAGAGAGAGAGAGAGAGAAGAGATAACTATGTTCCTGAGGTCTCAGCCCTAGATCAGGAAATTTTTAATATTTTTAAATTTTTATTAATTACAGTCGATTCACTTCCTATCCTGCAGTAGCCGTACCTCCATCCCCTCCCACTCCCATCCTCTCTCCCTCTTCTTCTCCTATGCCCCTCCCCCAGTCCAATGATAGGGGAACTCCTCCTCCCCTTCCATCTGACCCTAGTCTATCAGGTCTCATCAGGACTGGCTGCATTGTCTTCCTCTGTGGCCTGGTAAGGCTGCTCCCCTCTCAGATGAAGGTGATCAAAGAGCCAGCCCATGACTTCATGTCAGAGAAGGTCCTATTATTGGGAAACCCTCTTGGACACCTACCTGCCATGGACTACTTCTGTGCAGGGGTTTTAAGTTTTCTCCATGCATGGTCCTTGTTTGGAGTATCAGTCTCAGAAAAGACCACTGTACCCAGATTTTTTGGTTCTGTTGCTCTCCTTATGGGGCTCCTGTTCCCTCCAGGTCTTTCTAGAGGGCATCTGAAAGACTCTACCCAGCAGAGTATAAAAACATATGCTGAGATTCATAGCCAAACTTTTTACAGGGTGCAGGGAATCTTATAAAGATCAGGAGATTATTGAGGTAGGTCCTGACAAAAAGGAAATGCTGAAGCTTCTGGACTTTGTCAGTCTCTCGAAACTGCAGATTTCTCGGCCTACAGTTGGGATAAATTTCAAAACACCATGTGGAGCCATTTAATCTGTTCTGTCAAATCTTCAATAAATCTGAAAACAAGAAAAAAAAAGCAACAAATCAAGTAATCCAATTAAAAAATGGGTACAAGAGCTAAGCAGAAAATCATAATAGAGGAATATCGAATGGCAGAGAAACACTTAAAGAAATTAGAAGAGAGGGGAAAAATAAGATACACACGCGCTGTGTCATAAAATTGGGACAAGGACCACCAGAGAGATAGAGATAGAGGGGTACAAAAGGAAGGCAGAAGTATTGAGACAAAGTGCAGAGGATCAATTAAGTAAATTGTGTCTGGAAATATTATAATAAAAGCAATTACCAGTATGCTAATTAAAATCTAAACTAACAAATACATGCATATAAAAGTGAAGTTTGGTGAGGTATAAAGAATTATGAGCTGTCCCAAGACTTTTATTATTTTTCATTATCCTTAATATTGCTCCCCTTCTCCCAGTGCAGTGGTCCCTTTTTACTTTTTTTGGTTACTCCAGATACCTTAAAATCAGTGTGTGTGTGTGTGTGTGTGTGTGTGTGTGTGTGTGTGTGTGTGAAAGAGAGAGAGAGAGAGAGAGAGCGCTTCAAATATGCCAAACAAACACAGTGGTCAGAAGTCAACTCTCAAGTGTGTTTTTTAGTTGTTTTTATTTGTTTGTTTGTTTCTCCTATCACTCCTGGATCCCAGTTTTAACATAACTCAGGCTGTCTGCCAGACCTTCAGGAAGTGCCTCCAGATTCTGAGTCCTCTCTCTGACCTCTTTGTCCTATCTTGAAGTGTCTGTCAAAGGAGCTATAGTCATTAGAAGAATTATAGGAACCAGGAGATAGGGAAGCTAGCACCGCTTTGGATAATAAAGTTCAGATTGCTACGTGACAGAATGACCGACATTGTCTTCCACTAAGTCTTCATGGAACAATTTCACTGAAGTCATTTGAACCTCAGTCTTCCTATCAATGAGTTCACGTCAAGTCTCATAAATTAATGGCCTCATCATTGTGCCAAAATATAATAAAAATCTATTAAATGTCATTGTTTCCTTTCAAAGTTTCTACTGTGGGTCTTAATTTCTTTTACCCCATTGCTGTTCAATTTCTTTCTTCATCCAAACAACACAGTTGTTTTTTCTAGCTATCTTAACACTAACATTTACTATTGCATTTTCCACTGGGTAGATGTGGGCACATACTTGAATTTTCCATAGTTGTTTAGCTATTATATGTACTATATTTTGTCTGATCAATTGTAGGAGAAAACACTTCTAATTTATATTAAATCAGTTGCTATAGATACCATGTTTTCCTCTGCATTTTCCTTCAGCAATACTTGGAAAAAATTTTGATCACATCTCTCTTAACTTGATTTAGTCAAGTACAAAAATAGACAGCAAGAAATGTGGTAATGTAATTTCAAAACAATCTACATTCAAAGCTTAGAAACAATCCCTCTCATAATAAAGTTTATTCTCAAAAACCAATATTCAAAGTCATATTAACAAATTACACCATGCAGTATGAGGTAACAATAAATTACCTGTACAAGAAAGTACAGTTCTTAACTAATTATGGGTAAAAGAATAAGTTAACAATGAACACATAATGCAATTTAATTAAACAAATTAATATCCCACTTACACCATCAAAATTGTACAGAGTGATACATTTATTGATTATACTGAAAATAAAAACTAAATATAATTTTTGAGCTAAAATTATTTTCTAGTTGATACTGAAAATTAATTGAACTACTAAGTTTGGATGCATGACTTATTTAGTGTGTACTACCTCCAAACTTTGTGACAATGATTTTTTTTTGTATTAATTAGATTTTAGAGTGAGAGTTCAATAAAAAATATCTTCATTTAAAATTTTTATTTTATTTAGCATTGAATTAGCAAAGCAATAATTTGCTAAAGTCATGCCAGGAAATGAAGAAAATGAGTATCTATTAACAATAAACTAAATAAATGAGCTGGAATATTAATAATTTGAATATTTCTCACAATATTTTTTTAGAGTCTTCATTTTATAGTTCGTGTTAAAATTCACATTAATATTTAAATGTCCTTATTGTACAATATTATTGAACATACTTAAGGAAATAAATATTTCACTTACTAACTGTGTTGCTTGATTTTATGTCAACTTGATACAAGCTAGAGTCAATGTAGAAGAGGGAATCTTAACTGGGAAAGTGCCTGTAAAACATTTTCTAGATTAATGATTACTGTGGGAAGGGCAAGATTACTGTGTACAGTACCACTCCTGAGCAGGTGGTCCTAGATGATACAGAAAAACAGAGAGAGCAAGCCATGGGAAGCAAGCCAGGAAGCAGCATTCTTCCGCGGGTTATATTTCAGTTCCTGCTTCCGGATTCGGGTCTTGAGTTCCTGCCATCAGTTCCCTCAGTGAGAGAGTGTGAACTGAGAGGTTTGAACAAAAATAACCCCCCTTTTTTGCAAGTTGTTTTTTCTTGTGCTTTTTTATTCCAGCAATAGAAACTCTATGACAGAAACTGGCATTAGATTCATGGAATACTGTGTTATGATAGCAACAACCTGTTTTGAGGAGGATTGTGGTGGCATCTGAACTGTGAGATTTTTGGAAGATAATGATGCTGAGAGCAAAGCAGATGATAAAGGAGGCTTGATTTGTTAAGTTCTAGAGGGAAGAAAAGACTCTACTATGACCATGATAATATTTGGAATTAAGAATCTGTGGTATTGGTTTCTGGGTCTAAACATACACACACACACACACACACACAAAACAAAACAAAAACAACAGCTGTAATTAACAGGCAAGCACCAGTAACAATAAACGTTTGCTTTATTGGGGCAACTGAAGCTAGCTAACTGGAACATGGAAATTATTGGCAATTAAGAAGAGACCAGTATCACTGAGAGGAAATTCTCTAGGAGCATTTCCTTAGGGTCAGCACGCAGAGGTGCATTTAAGGTTCAGGACACTCTAGATCTCATGCTGGCAGCTAAACTTTGAAATGTGTTAGAGTTTCAAGGTGGTGCTCATATGGGAGGCATAAATGGGTCTGAGAGGACAGCAGCAGAGGCTTGGAGAGTCCAGCAGAGGCCACTGGTGAAGGTGCAGCTGCAGTTTTAATATAAACCCTGGGACTGAAACTCCAGGACTGCACATGAGAGAAACTGAAACTTGGCACTTGTGACAGTATCAGAGACTCTAAGTCGCCTATGAGTGGCCACTGATAAGGGTGCAGCCAGTTGCAATGGAGACCCCAGTACCATTAAATCAAGCGAAAATAAAAAGAATGTTCTTTAAAATATGACAGGCACTTTTCCTTAGGAATGTGTGAATCGCTGATGTCACTTCCCATCATGGTGATCAGTCATGTGCTTTAGTCAGTAAGAGACTGGAATTTTAAAGTGAATTTTTAAAGATGGGGACTTTTATAAGTTGGAAGGTTTAATTTTGTAATAATGATATCAATAGGACACAAGAAGGAAAAGTTTATGGTTTAATGTTTCTGTGTAAAGCTAATAAGATGTCAAATGTGTTGATTAGTCTTATGTCATCCAGACACAGGCTAGAATCATTTGGGAAGAAGGGCACTCATTGGGAAATTGCCTGTGTAAGACTGGCATACAGGCAACTCTGTTCAACATATTATTATTATTATTACAATTTTTTTCTTTTTTTAAATTTTTTATTTAACTTTTATTAATTACACTTTATTCACTTTGTATCCTCCCGTAAGCCCCTCCCTCCTCCCATCCTAATCCCACCTCCCTCCCCCTTCTTTGAGCATGCCCCTTCCCAAGTCCACTGATAGGGGAGGTCCTCCTCTCCTTCCTTCTGATCTTAGTCTATCAAATCTCATTAGGAGTGGCTGCATTGTCATTTTCTGTGGCCTGGTAAGGCTGCTCCCCCCTCAGGGGGAGGTGATCAAAGAGCAGACCAATCAGATTATGTCAGAGGCAGTCCCTCTTCCCATTACTATGTAAGCCACTTGGACATTGAACTGCCATGGGCTACATCTGTGCAGGGGTTCTAAATTATCTCCATGAATAGTCCTTGATTGGAGTATGAGTCTCTGGGAAGTTCCCTGTGTTCAAATTTTCTTGTTCTGTTGCTCTCCTTGTGGAGTTCCTGTCCTCTCCAGCTCTTACTATTTCCCACTTCTTACATAAGATTCCATTCACTTTGTCCAACAGTTGGCCATCAGGCTCAGCATCTGCTTTGATAGTCTGCAGGGCAGAGGCTTTCAGAGGCCCTCTGTGGCAGGTTCCTAGATTGTTTCCTGTTTTTTTCTTCTTCTGATGTCCAGCCTCTTTGCCTTTCGGGATGGGGATTGAGCGTTTTATTCAGGGTCCTCTCTTTTGCTTAGTTTCTTTAGATGTACAGATTTTAGTGGGTTTATCCTATGATGTATGTCTATATGAGTGAGTATATACCGTGTGTGTCTTTTTGCTTCTGGGACAACTCACTCAGGATGATCCTTTTCCAGGTCCCACCATTTACTTGCAAATTTCATGATTTCCTTATTTTTCATTGCTGAGTAATATTCCATTGTATAGAGGTACCACAATTTCTGCATCCATTCTTTAGTTGAGGGGCATCTGGGCTGTTTCCAGCTTCTGACTATTACAAATAAAGCTGCCACAAACATGGTCGAGCAACTGTCCTTATTGTGTACTTGAGCCTCTTTTGGATATATGCCTAGGAGTGGTATGGCTGGATCTTGAGGAAGCGCTATTCCTAGTTGTCTGAGAAAGCACTAGATTGCTTTCCAGAGTGGTTGTACAAGTTTACATTCCCACCAGCAGTGGAGAAGTGTTCCCCTTTCTCCACAACCTCTCCAGCATGTGTTGTCCCTTGAGTTTTTCATCTTGGCCATTCTGATGGGTGTAAGGTGAAATCTCAGGGTCGTTTTGATTTGCATTTCCCTAATGCAAATCAATGCATGGCATCAATGGCTAATGAGGTTGAGCATTTCTTTAAGTGTTTCTCTGCCATTCGATATTCCTCTACAG